CGCCGATCGCGGCGGGCAGCCTGGCTGCGCTCAAAACCCTTATAGCAGTTTGCTGAGGGAGAGAGAGCGGGGTGAGCCCCGTGGGGCTTAACATGTCTGTGAGTGAATGTGGGCGCAGGACAGCGGGCACATTTACTGCACTGAAAAACACCGTCGGCCTGAGCTGACTGAATGCGTGTTGGTTTCGTTTTTACAGAACCCGTGGGACATGTGGTGTGTAGTGTTTGTGGGCACTGAGACGTAGGCACATTCACTACATTTAGTGCACAATCGACATGAGGCGATTTTGTTTGTGCGAGCCCTGCAACTTTGCGGGCTGTGTTTGTGTGTAGAAATGAGCCCTGGGTTGTGGGCATTTTCAATATACTCATAACACCATCGGCTGTGGCCGGAATACCAGAAAATACACCGTTTATGTGATTTATCTGGGTCGCCGTGGAAACAGCATTTGTGTGCAGGCAAGCGGGCATGGTACTGGCTTGCTTACTGCAAAATACACTGGAACAGTCACATTTTCTGGAACTGAACGAGCGAAAATTTCAGTGGAAGTCTGGCCACGGCGAGACTGAAACACCGTCGATTTCCTAGGAGGCTAGGAAGACTTGTGTTGGTTTCGTTTTACAGAAACCGTGGTAGTGTTTGTGGGCACTGGGTTGTGGGCACATTCACTACATTTAATGCACAATTGACATGCGTCGATTTCATTTGTGCGAGCCCTGTACCGTGGCGGGCTTTGTTTGTGTGTAGAAATGAACACTGGGCTGTGAGCATTTTATTACACTTATAACACCATCGGCTGTGGCCGGAAAACCAGAAATACACTGATTACATGATTTTTCTGGGTCGCCGTGGAAATGGCCTTTATGTGCAGGCAAGCGGGCCGTGGAACCAGCTTGTTTACTGCAAAATACACTGGAACAGTCGCATTTTCTGGAACTGAACGAGCGAAAAGTTTCAGTGGAAGTCTGGCCGCGGCGAGACTAAATTTCTATCTGCTGCGAGAGCCGGGATCGAACACGGGTCTCTCGCGCGAAGGCTTCGGGTTCTGCCACTGGTCCACAGGGAGAACTACATTAGCGCAAGCAGATAAGAGAGTGTCATCACAGTTTTGTGTGTGTCGGCGTTTGTATGCAGGTGTGCGTGTTGTACAACAGGCTCATTGCTGCAATAATGACATTTTCAGCCGCTCAAACTAGGAGCTGAGACATGTTTGAGAAATGGAGATTAGTCCGGCCTCGGCGGTGACTAAAACACACTCTTTTCTCATTTGCCGGTGACGCACGCCCATGGGGGGCGGGGTAGATTTCTTATAACGTAAAGAAAGCTAGCCGCGGTTTTAGGGCTCGCGGTCTTGATGCTGGCCCGTTTCCCTGACGACTCGCGCGGCGGTTGCGCGGGCGCCTCCCAGTCGAGGCCGATGCTTTCCACGGCCTGAGAGAGCAGACGCATCAGCTCAGTCTAAATGCCGGCTCTCTTACCAGTGGTTTGGCGGGAAACGCTAGCGGAGGGGAGGTCCACGGAGCTCGCCCAATCCTCGCTATCAGATGCCAGAAGAGAACAAGCCTCGGTGGGTTCGTCGAACTCGTGGACGGACGCGGCGGCAGGGGGCGGCCGTTGTCCGTCAGTGAGCGACTCGAGCGAAGCCGGCGAAGCTGGCGGGCAAACCGGCGAGCTTTGGCGGGCTGGAGAAAGCTCGGGAGCGCGCTGGGCGCGGCGCTTCTTGCGGCGCGGCACCACGGCGGGCTGTGGTGAAGGCTCGGAGAATGATGCCAGGCGAGTCCTCAGAGTCACCATAGGCAAAAGCTCGCAATGAGGGCATCCGCCGTCAGCGAGCGCGATGGCCGCGTGATCCTCACCCAGGCAGGACACACAGATGACGTGACGGTCCCCGTCGCTGAGTGGGGCGCGGCACGAGCCACAGGATGGCATCTTTAAAAAGACGCAGCTCTTTTGTGATGAGAAGTGTGAGTCGCGTCAAGTAAGCGAGCAAACACTCTCAGCAGAGTAAGGATACAAAGTGATATAAAAGGATATAGAACGCCGGAAAGCGCAGCAGGTACGGCAGTTGAAGGCGGCGAGGCCAGCGACTCCAGAGCTGGTCCCGCTGAAAAGCTTGCTTCGACGGCGCGGCTTCTCACTCCGGATCCAGCGATGCGTGTGCTTCGCTGAAGAGATGAAAATCAGCTTGTACCAGCCTAACGAGCATATTTATAGAGTGAGACCACGGCCTTTCTGGCGGGACGTGACGATATGGGCGCGAGTTGCCCCCATTGGTCATTACGTCACGCAGAGTCTCTCTCGATAGGCTGCTGCATTTGCCGCAAGAGCAGCCAATAGGCGCGCGAGCTGTATCGCCTGTGTCTGCTTGCTGCTGCAAAGCGTTTTACATTAATAAAAAATTAAGGATAATTTTTGGCTTCAATATCTCGTGGAAAAGAGGTTTTCCCCTAGCGTAAGCTATTACGCAGTACGAGAGATACTCTCGTAAGAGAACTGACCGTAGACGCATACCAGGATTCACCTTGCTCCGCTGCCCGCTCTCTCTTCCAGTATATTCACAAAATAAAAATTAAATAAATGCACCGCGTGTCTTCCATCTACTGATTTTAATGTTATTTGGCTAACTTAAAAGTTATACGAGTGATTATAATTGTTTCCTTTAATGTCTGCAACTTCGTGGTTTTTAGCTATGTCTCTAACTTCCGTTTATTGAAGATGTTCTGAATTTGTAATTCATCCACACGGTGTAAATTAATGTCTGTCTATAACAAAAAGCAGCATGAAGCCTAACACTAAAACATGGACATCAGTTTAAATGTTGTACAATAGCCTACATGATTTTATTTTAACTAAACGTACTTAATCAAAATAATTTTTGGATAACATCCACAATTAATCTCTACTTCAACACCACTGTTGTTAAAGCAGTAAAAAAAAATCAGTTAATTAAAAAAAGCAAACTTTCAGAATCAGCATGTTGAAAATATTGCATACATAACATATATTCCACAAAAATGTAGGCCTACTCTTTATTTTAAAACAACTTCATGTGGGACTAGTGTATTTACAGAGGAATCACACTGAATCACACACAAGTATGTTACATTTAAAACACAAAAATCTGTGATAATTCTTGGACACAGCAAAAGAAAACTTTGGAAGCGTCATTAAGCTGCTTTACCTTGCCAGTGTAATGTTCATTCTGGTAAGAAACACCCTATAATTTTGAAGAAAGAAAGAATTTTCCAGCCCTGTGCAGATAAAGAACAGGTTGAACAAAACCAGCCAGCACATAACAAATCAAACCAAAGGACCAAAGTGCATTTATAATCTGTTGTTTCAGAATGGTAACAAATCCTATGACTATATATGGGACATATATGATAGCCATGCTCACAGTAGTTATTAGAATGAGATCAAATGCTCTTCTCTTCATGTGGTTTTCCTCCTTTCTCTCTCTCGCTCTCTCTCCTGGTCCTGACTGCTTCAGAGCTCTGAGAACAGCCACAAGACAAAACAGCTGGATGATGAAGAAGAGGAGGAACAGCACCAAGAACAATATAAGTTTTACTTCATCAGAAACTAACAGGCACAAAAAACAGCATCCAAGAACAATGAACCAGGCCACAGTGCAGCAGATCACTCTATATCTGAGAGGTTTGTACTTCAGAAAGGTTACAGGATGAACCACTGCCAGGTAACGCTCAACACAGATCAGACACTGAAACAGAGGACGACCGGTGGAGGAGAGTCCTGCTAAGAACATTTCAATTCTTGAGAGACTTGTAAACCACATTGACAGTACAAAGACCAAATTATTCAGACAGATACCAAGCTCACAAACAGAGAGATTGAAAATGAAGAACTCTGATGCAACTCCACTTCCTGTTCCTGTTACGATGAGCCATAGAATATAGGAGTGTGTTGGAAGACCGAATAACAAACAGATGACATGCCCACAGATTTCCAGACTGTCCATTAACTCAAAAGACTGAGTTGTGGAGTTTGTAGTTCCTTCAGTTGTGGTGAAGTTCACTGTAGCGTTTTTCATCTTTTCTGTGTTTGTCTTCCTCAGTTCAGCAGCCAGTAAACATAATAATGTAACTATGATTTATAGGAAAAGAGAAATGCAAATTAAGTTTACATCCAATCTGTAAGTCTACACATTTTTTCAATTTTAACTCAAACATCCAGAGTACATCATTATTCAATCTGCACAATATGGTTATACAAAGGGCAAAAGCTATAGCCTAAAAAACAACCACTTTCTATTTTATTTATCTTTCTTAAATGAACTTGAATTAAATTGTTATTTCTTTTCAGTAAAATACTCATTAAACTTGCCCTACAACAAAACAGAATCAACACAGTGTCAAATGTTTCTGCTTATTAATTGTAAAAACATTGAAGTTTGTCACCTGAAGAATGAATGCCCAGTCTCTCTGGATGTGTATAAATCTCTGTGCTGCGTTTTAAGTTCACAGCTGCCACAAGAATATATGTGCATGACTTCATCTGCTACACGTCACATTAAACATCATATACGCAAATATTTAGACTATAAAAATGAACAAAATTCAAGCCATTTTTTAGACATTTATCGAGTGACCCTGAACTTCAAAATATAATTTTCATATGATACAAAATACAATGGTGAGATGTCAGTCTTCCCAAACAATCTTTATAAATAATGAGATGGAAAATTGAGGCTTGGTAATTGATGAAGTGATTTATTGGAAAAACAAACTAATAGCAACCACTCATTTTATTAATAGGATATGATTTTTCATGCACTCATGCTGTGGCTATCTGAACGACCTTAAATAAGTTCAAATATCACAGAACTTCTGCTAGACATTTTCTAGAAGTCAAAGTGCACATGTTTTTTTCAGTCCTCTGAGAAGTGAAGTTGTGTTTGAAAGGTATCAAGTTGATATAAGTACATTTGAGTACAAACTAATCCCTAGATTTGAAGAGTAAAATAATATCATAAGCAGGTTTTATGGAGAAAAGAGGCAGGAGAGTTTTCCAGTCCGGTGCTGATAAAGAACAGGCTGCACAAAACCAGCCAGAACGTAACAAGTCACAGCCGGAGACCAAACTTCCTGAATAATCAGTTTTGTCAGAATGGTAAACAAAGTTGTGAGAGTAAGTGGCAGATATGTGATAACCATGGTCGCAGTTGTTATTAAAATGAGATAAATCATTCTTCTCTTCATGTGGTTTTCCTCCTTTCTCTTTCTCCCTCTCTCTCCTGGTCCTGACTGCTTCAGAGCTCTGAGAACAGCCACAAGACAAAACAACTGAATGCAGAGGAAGAGTAGAAACTGCAGCATGAAGAACCACATATATACAATGTTGTGTGAATCTATAGTAAACATGCAACACAAGCAGGATCCAAGAATAATGATCCAGGCCGCAGTGCAGCAGATCACTCTATATCTGAGAGGTTTGTACTTCAGAAAGATTACAGGATGAACCACTGCCAGGTAACGCTCAACACACATCAGACACTGAAACAGAGGATGACCAGTGACAGTTAGTCCTGTTAAACACTGTTTTAGTGTTGAAAGGTCTGAATACCAAAATGCCAGTAGACTGATCAAACCATTCAGACAGTTGCCAATCTCAGAAACAGAGAAATTGAGGATGAAGAATTCTGATGCAACTCCACTTCCTGTTCCTGTGATGATGAGCCATATAACGTCTCAGGTTACGTATGTAACCCTGGTTCCCTGAGAGGGAACGAGACGCTGCGTTTGAGACGCGGTGGGAACGCTCTGCGTGATTGCGTCATGAAGCACGTGTAAAATCAGTCCGATGGAAGCCCGATACGTCATGGGTGACGTCATAGACCAGGAAACTATAAAGCACCCTTGAAAACAGACCGCGACAGCTTCTGAAAAAGTCTGAAGCAAGTTGATCAGGGCATGCAGGAAGTGTGGCAGGCAAACGCAGCGTCTCGTTCCCTCTCAGGGAATCAGGGTTACATACGTAACCTGAGACGTTCCCTTTCAAGGGAACTTCGAGCTGCGTTTGAGACGCGGTGGGAACCCCATACCCACTACGCCATAGTGACAAATGCCCGTTCTGTGTGAAGTCCTTGCGCACACTAAGAAGCAAGCAACCTCGCCCCAGGAGTGGAGAGGTCAAGGTCATAAAACCTGACAAATGTATGTGGAGAGGACCAACCTGCCGCATTACAAATGTCAAGAAAGGAAACACCCGAAATTAAGGCCGTAGAGGCCGCCATACTCCTTGTAGAATGGGCCCGTACAGCCATAGGTGAAGGCTGACCGGCCGCTTCATAAGCCAATGATATAGCCTCGACTATCCATTTGCTCATAACCTGTTTAGATGCAGGGCACCCTCTTCTGAGTGACCCAAAACATACAAATAACTGCTCTGACTTACGCCACAGGGCAGCTCTGTGAACGTAGGCATCCAATGCCCGAACTGGACATAACAGGTTCAGTTGTTCCTGATCTGGGGTATTAAAAGGTGGAGGATAAAAGGCCTGCAACACTATTGGGCCCCCAACATTAACTGGGACCTTAGGAATATAACCCGGTCTAGGGTATAGAAATGCTTTCACCATACCAGGTGCAAATTCCAGACATGACGGAGCAACCGACAGGGCATGCAAATCTCCAATTCTCTTGATAGATGAAATAGCAAGGAGAAATAAAGCTTTCAAAGTGAGGAATTTTTCTGAAACCTCTTCAATAAGCTCGAAGGGAGCCAGAGCCAGACCCTCAAGTACAATGGCTAAATCCCAAGCCGGTGCTCTAGAGTGCAGTGCAGGTCTCAACCTCAATGTACCACGGAGAAAACGAGTAATCAGAGGATCTCTCCCAATAGAAGTACCCCCCAGAGGGGTATGATAGGCCGAAATAGCCGCCACATAAACTTTTAAGGTGGAAGGAGATAATCCAGCAGAGAAACGGTCTTGCAGAAAATCGAGAACTGAACCAACAGGGCAGTTAACAGGATCTAACTGACGCTCACCACACCAGGTGGAGAATAATTTCCATTTCAGTGCATACAGTCTTCTCGTGGAAGGAGCTCTGGAATGGAGAATCTCTCAACGACCTCAGTCGAAAGACTGGATTCTATGAGCCTGGCCCCCTCAGAGGCCAGGCCCACAGTTTCCACAACTCCGGTCGAGGGTGAAATATCGTGCCCCCTGCCTGGGACAGCAGGTCCCTCCTGAACGGAATCTCCATGGGAGAGCCGTCCAGAAGAGACAAAGTCCGAGAACCAAACTCGAGTCGGCCAGTATGGGGCTACTAGTAGCAGATGAGCCCCTTCCCGGCGAACCCTCTCCAGAACCTCCGGGAGCATAGATATCGGGGGAAATGCGTACAGGTGCAGCCTCGGCCACACCTGCACCATCGCATCCAGTCCGAGAAGAGCTGGCTGCGTGAGGGGGAACCATATAGAGCAATGCGTTGTACAAACGATGTGAAAGGTCGACTTGACTTTAGTTAGACCAAAGTTCTCCCTAAGAAGCTCCACCACCTCGGGGTGAAGTCTCCAATCCCCTGGGCCTCAGCCCCTGCCTCAACAGGAGTGATATATATATTGGGCTTGACAAACAACAATAAATAGACAAGGACAGAATCACAGAGAGCGCTTGCTGAAGACAACAGAAGCTGTCGCGGTCTGTTTTCAAGGGTGCTTTATAGTTTCCTTGTCTATGACGTCACCCATGACGTATCGGGCTTCCATTGGACTGATTTTACACGTGCTTCATGACGCAATCACGCAGAGCGTTCCCACCGCGTCTCAAACGCAGCTCGAAGTTCCCTTGAAAGGGAACAAAGGAGTGTGTAGGAAGTCCAACAAGGAAACTGATGCTGTGCAGACACATTTCTAAAATTTGCAGTGGCCTAAAGGATTGTGTTGTGGAGTTTGTAGATATTTCAGGTGTGGTGAAGTTCATCTTCTCTGTGTTTTTCTTCTCTACAGCGCACAAAATATAATATTGTAAGACTTATCTATGGAAAGAGAGAAGTGTACATAAATACAGCCTACATTTATATTACATTCAGTATAATTGATTTTAGCAATCGAATCTTCGTTTTGTCATTCTATTTCAAAATGGTAATGGTTCGCCGCTGATAAAGTGATTCCATGAACCAGTGTCATATGATTGAACTGATCTCGGGTCAGTTCCATTAATGACAAACGTGTGTATAATGGAGATGGAGGAAGATCTAGTAATTGTCTAGCACACATAAAACAAGTATAGACTAATAAAGAACCCTGGCTTTACTATGCATTTGCTTTATATTTAGTGGTATATTACAATGAATAGATTACACTTTCATGAAAACATTTGTAATTGGTTGTATATTTTATCATTTTATATTATGTGTTTGTGCTATAAAATGTTGCACTTTGGAAATTATGTTGGCATTTTCACAACAATAACTCTTAGGATTAAACAATCTGAATTAATTTTTTATTTGTTTTACTTATAGCAGCATGAATGCTTCCAAATACCTCCATAACTGAAACTGTTGAAATCCCAACAAACCAGAACATTGAACATTAATGAGTTCCAATGTTTTTCATCCTGTTCAAAATAACTTCATTCATTCATACCCAAAATAACAATTATATCATATTTTGCTGATTAAATTGTTACTTCGGTACAATTAAACAAAAAGACTTCAATCTCATTATATTCAATAGTAAACTTTCTTAGGAACTCACTTTGGACTTTTTCAGATAAATACTGTGACATTTTTTAATATTAAGGATAAAAACAAAAACAAAATTAATTTGTCACCTGAAAAGTGAATGTCCCCTCTCGGATGTAAATGTCTGTGCTGTGTTTGTAAACTGACTTCACAGTCGTCACAAGGATGTCAATGCATGACTTCATCTGTTTCATGCCGCATAAAACATGCAAATATTTAAAGTAAAAAAAAAAAAAAAAAAAAAAAAACAGAGAGGTTCACTTTTTTATGGAAAATGTTTATCTGGAAGCTTGTGATTGACCAGTCAGAATAAAGTATTCCAGCCGCATACTCATTCATTTTTAGACTGAGTATTTAAGAGAGCAAGAAAGAATGAGAGAGAGAGAAAGATACATAAATTTTAAATATTGGGGGGTGGGGTGGGGGGGGGGGGGGGAAAGGTCACTGATTAAATGTTTTATTAGATAAACAAACACACTGATATCAAACAACCATATTTAATTAACACACTCAGAATAAGCTAGTTCTATGTGTAAATAAACAGGGAAATAAAAGATTTGTATACTCACATGAACTGACAATCAAACTAAAAAATAATTTTAAATAGAACTTAATTTAAAGACCAGAGCAAACACCAAGAGGAAATAGACACTTCAGCTGTAAATATAAAAAAATGGCCCATCCACTAATAAAAATTGTTTAAAAAGTAAAACGATGTGTAGTAATTTTTTGTCAGTTTATGAGGAACAGAAGCCGGAGAGTTTTCCAGTGCGGTGCAGATAAAGAACAGGCTGAGCAAAACTAGCTAGAACAAAACAAACCAAACCAGGAGCCCAATATGTCCAGTGATACTTGTTCATCAGAATTATAAATACTCCTGCGATAATAATTGGCATATATGCGAAAACTATGTTCACAGTAGTTATTAGAATGATATAAAATGCTCTTTTCTTCATGGGGTTTTCCTCCTCTCTCTCTCTCCCTCTCTCTCCTGGTCCTGACTGCTTCAGAGCTCTGAGAACAGCCACAAGACAAAACAGCTGGATGAAGAAGAAGAGGAGGAACTGCATTAAGAAGAACCATGAATGTGCATCAATATTATTTGACATTAATGTGATCATGCAAACCAAACAGGAGCAAAGAATAATTATCCAGGCTGCAGTGCAGCAGATCACTCTATATCTGAGAGGTTTGTACTTCAGAAAGGTTACAGGATGAACCACTGCCAGGTAACGCTCAACACAGATCAGACACTGAAACAGAGGACGACCAGTGATGGAAAGTCCTTGCAAAAACAGTGTGAATGGCCCAAGAACTGAAATCCAATTAAGCAGTACAAAAAACAACAAATCCAGACAGTTACCAATCTCACAAACAGAGAGATTGAGGATGAAGAACTCTGATGCAACTCCACTTCCTGTTCCTGTGATGATGAGCCATATAATATAGGAGTGTGTAGGAAGACCAACCAGAAAATTGATGCTGAACACACACATTTCCAGATACCCCACTGGCAATATGGAAGGGGTTGTGGAGTTGGTGGAAGCTCCTGGTGTGGTGGAGTTCATTTTCTCCTCGTTTGTCTCACAAAACATAAATAGTATTGCTAAGAAGAGAGAATTGTAAACGTATGGGGTTATTCAGACGACATTTCAATGTAAGCAAGATAAAAAATATTATTTAAAAACATTTTCAGTCTACCCTAGCAATTCAACACAGTTTACAGTTAAAAAATTGGCAATTTTTTATACTGATAACTTAATACATTGCAGTACATCTACATAATGCACTCTTAAAAAATAAACGGCGATTCAATAGAAGAACCATTTTACTTCTCCAAATAACTCTTTGTGAAAAGTTCCTAAAATAACAATTTGTGAAGAACATTTTAAAAATCTAAAGAAGCTTTTTTGCACTTGAAATGTTCTGTGTTAAAGGTTCTTCGTGAAATCACAGATGCCAATAAAGAACCTTTATTTTTAAGAGTGTACCCTAATGTCAAGTAAATTGCTAATTCAGTTTGATTAATCAAATAGAGATCAGTTCTGTTTTACTCAAGTGATCAATCTAAGATGCCCATAACCCTTTTACTATGACTGATAACCACAGCAACATTGTCATACAGTATATTATTCAGCAGTAAAAAAAAAAAAATTCAATTTAAAAGAGAAGTTTATCACCTGAAGAGTGAATGTCCAGTCTCTCTGGATGTGTATAAATCTCTGTGCTGTGTTTTATAGACCGACTTCACACTGTTACAAGAATATGTGTGCATGACTTCATCTGATACACGTCACATTAAACATCAGATATGCAAATATTAAAAGTAAAAAGGTTTTTAAAAATATCATAAAGAAATACTCTTATTTGATACTTTAATTTTATTCCAAAAAAATTCATTCATTCCCAAAATAACATTTCTGTCATATTTTGCTTATAAAATTGTTACTTCTGTTCAATTAAACAAAAAGAGCTCAATGTCATTTTATTCAATAGTAAACTTTCCTCAGAACTCACTTTGGACTTTTTCAGATAAATACTGTGACATTTTCTAACACTAAGGATATAAACAAAATTAGTTTGTCACCTAAAAAGTGATGTAAATGTCTGTGCTGTGTTTGTAAACTGACTTCACATTCGTCACAAGGATGTCAATGCATGACTTCATCTGTTTCATGCCGCATAAAACATGCAAATATTTAAAGTAAAAAAACACACAAAAAACAGAGAGTCTGAGTAAATTTATTAACAGAAATTCACTTTTATATGAAAAATGTTCATCTGGAAGCTTGTGATTGACCAGTCAGAATGAAGTATTCCAGTGTGCCGCATAATATTGTTATATGTTGCTTCTATATATAAGAAAGTAGCAAATTCAAATTAATCACCTGCATTTTTTTATTTATTTTTTTTGCACACTGAATATTCATTCTTTGTACGTCTAAACTAGACAGCACATGCAGGTGTAACTTATTAATTTTTAGACTACTTATAAGAGAGCAAGAAAGAATGAGAGAGAGAGAGAGAGATAGATAGATAAATAAATAAATAATAAAAATGGGGGGGGGGGGGGGGGGGGGTATGCAAAACGTGATACTGGGTCACTGATTAAATGTTTTATTAGATAAACAAACACACTGATATCAATCAACAATATTTATTTAACACACTCAAAATATATCTATGTGTAATAAACAGGTAAATTAAAGATTTGTATCATAAATAGAACTTAATTTAAAAGACAGAGCAAACACCAAGAGGAAAGAGACACTTCAGCTGATAATACAAAACAAAATGGCCCATACACTACTAAGAAAAATTTAAAAATTAAAACAATGTGTAGTCATTTTTTGTCAGTTTATGAGGAACAGAAGCCGGAGAGTTTTCCAGTGCGGTGCAGATAAAGAACAGGCTGAACAAAACTAGCTAGAACATAACAAACCAAACCAGGAGCCCAATATGTCCAGTGATACTGGTTCATCAGAATTATAAATACTCCTGCGATAATAATTGGCATATGTGCGAAAACTATGTTTACAGTAGTTATTAGAATGATATAAAACGCTCTTCTCTTCATGGGATTTTCCTCTTCTCTCTCTCTCCCTCTTTCTCCTGGTCCTGACTGCTTCAGAGCTCTGAGAACAGCCACAAGACAAAACAACTGGATGGGGAGGAAGAGGAGTAACTCCATCAAGAAGAACCATATATCTGCATTTATATAATGTAACATTAATGTGATCATGCAGACCAAACAGGAAACAAGAATAATTATCCAGGCCGCAGTGCAGCAGATCACTCTATATCTGAGAGGTTTGTACTTCAGAAAGGTTACAGGATGAACCACTGCCAGGTAACGCTCAACACACATCAGACACTGAAACAGAGGACGACCAGCGATGGAAAGTCCTTGCAAAAACAGTGCTAATGGCCCAAGAACTGAAATCCAATTAAGCAGTACAAAAAACAACATATCCAGACAGTTACCAATCTCACAAACAGACAGATTGAGGATGAAGAACTCTGATGCAACTCCACTTCCTGTTCCTGTGATGATGAGCCATACAATATAGGAGTGTGTGGGAAGACCAAACAGGAAATTGATGCTGAACACACACATTTCCAGATACCCCTCTAGCAATATGGAAGGGGTTGTGGAGTTGGTGGAAGCTCCTGGTGTGGTGGAGTTCATTTCCTCCTCGTTTGTCTCACAAAACATAAATAGTATTGCTATAAGAAGAGAGAATTATAAACTTATGGGGTTACTCAGACGACAGTTCAACATAAGCAAGATAAAAAAATATATATTTTTAAAAATTATTGATCATTTAATACATTGCAGTACGTCTATATAATGCACTCTTAAAAATAACAGCGATTCCATAGAAGAACCATTTTAGTTCTCTAAAAAACTCTTAGTGAAGTTCCTAAAATAACCCTTTTTTGAAGAACATTTAAAAAATCTAAAGAAGCTTTTTTGCACTTGAAATGTTCCATGTTAAGAGGTTCTTTATAAAATCCATGTGATGCCAATAAATAACCTTTATTTTTAAGAGTGTACCCTAATGCCAAGTAAATTGCTAATTCAGTTTGATGAAACAAATAGAGATCAGTTCTGTTTTACTCAAGTGATCCATCTAAGATGCCCATAACCCTTTTACTATGACTGATAACCACAGCAACATTGTCATATATCATTCAGCAGTAAAAAGAAAAATATTTCAATTTAAAAGAGAAGTTTATCACCTGAAGAGTGAATGTCCAGTCTCTCTGGATGTGTATAAATCTCTGTGCTGTGTTTTATAGACTGACTTCACACTGTTACAAGAATATGTGTGCATGACTTCATCTGATACACGTCACATAAAAACATCAGATATGCAAATATTAAAAGTAAAAAGATCAAAAATACGCGCAGACGTTCCCTGGTGCTATTTCGCAGTTTCAGAAAACAATTCCGCCACAGACCAGGTAAAACCTAGTCTAAAGTCAGTGGCGCGTTATTCAGATGCTATTTTAAGGGTGCATGCTTGGCCATAATGTAGCGTGTGCACAATGCGCTTTGCTTATCTCATACAGCAGTTCCAATTTTTTATAAACCATACATAATTACAAGGAAAAATTTTACCACATGAGGAAAATCATTGTGGTGTCCATGAAGATGTGAAAAAAATAGGCATAAATCTATAGCTTACACATTTACTCAAATTATGATACGCCTGTTTTACCGAAGCTAATTTGGTAAGCTAAGTTTCTCCCATTTCAGATCATTAAAATAGGGCCCAGTCTTATCTGATACTTAAATTTTATTCTCAAAAAGTTCATTTTGATAAACGTCTTGTTCACTGAACTGTTGTATTAAAGCAATATGACAATTGCATTTGTGATGCTGTTCCGAATATCAGCACAGCTGTGAAAAAAATCAGTAAAGAAGAAATGATGCAGCTCCCAATCACTGAACACCATGGTATGCAAACTTTATTTTATATTTAGAAAGAATGGAAGAGAAAATTACAAGGAATCTATTCTCTTTCAATTAAGATTTATTGGAAAACATGCAAACAGCTACCATTTATAATAAATATATCAGATAAACACACTAAGGATAAACTTAAAATATATAGGATTTCTTCATGCACACTTTCTGACTTTCTGATCTATATTAAACACAAAACTTTCAAAACTCCCTGAAATTACAGTTGAAATCTCATCGGCTGCCTGCTATTCATATTTTAGAAGTCAGGGGGTACAGCTTTTTGCCATCCTCTGGGAAATTGCATTCAAAATATTATAATGAGCACTTTTAAGGAACAATACCGGGATTTGCCAGTGTTTGACATTTGCACACACTGTGTGAGTGTGTGATTCAGCAGTGTAAAGACCATAATGAACAGTCATTTAGAGGACAGAGACAATTCAGCTGAAAAAAAAATAAAAATCCCATTCATAAATAAAAGTTATCAAAACCAAAAAAACTAGGTGTAGTTAGTTACTGTTTTACAGGTTTTATGGAGAACAAAGACAGGAGATTTTTCCAGCCTGGTGCAGATAATGAAGAGGCTGAACAAAACTACCAAGAATATAACAAATCAGAGAAGGAGACCAAAATGGCAAACTGTCATGCTGTGTCAGAATGGTTAAGATTACAGAGAAAGTAATTGGCATATATGTGATAACCAAGGTCGCAGTAGTTATTAGAATGAGATGAAATGCTCTTTTCTTCATGTGGTTTTCCTCCTCTCTCTCTCTCTTTCTCCATTTCTCTCCTGGTCCTGACTGCTTCAGAGCTCTGAGAACAGCCATAAGACAAAACAACTGGATGGAGCAGAAGAGGAGGAACTGCATCAAGAAGAACCATGCATGTACAGTCACTGTAAATAACAAATATATGATCAGGCAGACCAAACAGGAGGCAAGAGTGGTTATCCAGGCCACAGTGCAGCAGATCACTCTATATCTGAGAGGTTTGTACTTCAGAAAGGTTACAGGATGAACCACTGCCAGGTAACGCTCAACACAGATCAGACACTGAAACAGAGGACGACCGGTCATCCCAAATCCTTGTATTAAAAGTGCTAATGGCAAGAGACTTGAAATATATTTTGACAATATAAAGAAAAGAAAATCCACACAGAAACAAATCTCACAACAAAAGAGATTGAGCTGGAAGAACTCTGATGCAACTCCACGTCCTGATCCTGTGACGATGAGCCATATAACATAGGAGTGTGTAGGAGGACCAAACAAGAGACTGATGCTGAAAATCCAAATTTCTATTTCGTCCGCTTCCCAGATTCCATCTGTTCCAGATCCCATTGTAGAGTTGTTGGAAGCTCCTGTTGTGGTGGAGTTCATTTCCTTCTTGTTTGTCTGAGCAGGAGCTTACAAAACATAATTGATAGTGGTAATAGAGGAGAGAATTATAAATGTACCGTTTTATTTAGACTGCAATTCAACATGAGCATGATAAGAAATTACACTAAATATATGCAATATGTAATAGGGTTAGAAGTGTATAGTTTAAGGTTACAAACATATTTTTTTGGTTCATAATTAAAAAAAAATATACCCTAATGGGCTTGTAATGATTACAGAGCAACAAACATAAACAAAGTTTTATAATAATTACTAATGTTCATTATGTTATTTTGAGTTGACAACTAAGCCATTTAACATGACCATAAACCATTTTAATATGACTTATAACAACAATGACAAATGGTTCAGCATATAAAAGAAAATTAATCTTAATTTAAAAGATGAGTTTATCACCTGAAGAGTGAATGTCCAGTCTCTCTGGATGTATATAGGCTATATACATATATGTGCTGTGTTTTGTAGACTGACTTCACAGCTGTCAAAAGAATAGCTTATGTGTATGACTTAATCTGGTAGATGTCATGTACAACATATGCAAATGTTTAGAGAGGTCCATTTATAAACCCAAAGGACAGATGGAATAGGCCTATTTGGAACATGCTTGTTTAAAACCCTCTGGGGTCCTTCATTTCAGAGTCACACTCAGGACCTTCGGTACCAAATGGTCCGGGAGGGTGGGAATAATATTTATTTTAAAAAATCATCTTTTTTTTTTTTTACTTGTTTTTTATAATATATTTTCTTTTCTTTTTTGGTGTTTTGAGATAGTTTTATGATTTATAATTAATATTTATGCGATAATTATGACCCATTTTTGTTCCTATTGAATATAATAGAATTGTTTTTTTTTTTTAAAGCTGTATTTCATTTTAGAGTCAAGCCTAGGCCTCATGAAAGCAATATTTGAAATGAGATGGATGCCATCTGGTGGACAAACTGAGCATTTTAAAAATTCAAAACCTATATGTAATCTGAATTTATTAGTGTTTACGTGTATAAAAGTGTTTGTGTGTGTGTGTGTGGATGTGTCTGTTTTGCACTCTTGATGTTTTATAGATTCACCCCTTCACTGTTGTGTGCTTTTTTTCTGGATCGTGGCTGATTTGTAGATTGTACGCACAAAAAAACTCTGTTTCCCTATCAAGGCTACGGAACTTCGACATTACGATTGTTGTATATGGGAACTCCTCTCATCCTTCACTTCCGCTGAAATCTTATAGGCTAACGCCAGCAGAGCTGGCCAATTGACGCGAATATGCAAATACTGACACCTCGTAGCAGTATACACTCACCGGCCACTTTATTAGGTACCCCATGCTAGTAACGGGTTGGACCCCCTTTTGCCTTCAGAACTGCCTCAATTCTTCGTGGCATAGATTCAACAAGGTGCTGGAAGCATTCCTCAGGGAGTTTGGTCCATATTGACATGATGGCATCACACAGTTGCCGCAGATTTGTCGGCTGCACATCCATGATGCGAATCTCCCGTTCCACCACATCCCAAAGATGCTCTATTGGGTTGAGATCTGGTGACTGTGGAGGCCATTTTAGTACAGTGAACTCATTGTCATGTTCAAGAAACCAATTTGAAATGATTAGAGCTTTGTGACATGGTGGAAGTAGCCATCAGAGGATGGGTACATGGTGGCCATAAAGGGATGGACATGGTCAGAAACAATGCTCAGGTAGGCCGTGGCATTTAAACGATGCCCAATTGGCACTAAGGGGCCTAAAGTGTGCCAGGAAAACATCCCCCACACCATTACACCACCACCACCAGCCTGCACAGTGGTAACAAGGCATGATGGTTCCATGTTCTCATTCTGTTTACGCCAAATTCTGACTCTAACATCTGAATGTCTCAACAGAAATCGAGACTCATCAGACCAGGCAACATTTTTCCAGTCTTCAACTGTTCAATTTTGGTGAGCTCTTGCAAATTGTAGCCTCTTTTTCCTATTTGTAGTGGAGATGAGTGGTACCCGGTGGAGTCTTCTGCTGTTGTAGCCCATCCGCCTCAAGGTTGTGCGTGTTGTGGCTTCACAAATGCTTTGCTGCATACCTCGGTTGTAACGAGTGGTTATTTCAGTCACTGTTGCCCTTCTATCAGCTCGAACCAGTCTGGCCATCTCCTCTGACCTCTGGCATCAACAAGGCATTTCCCGCCCACAGAACTGCCGCTCACTGGATGTTTTTTCTTTTTCGGACCATTCTCTGTAAACCCTAGAGATGGTTGTGCGTGAAAATCCCAGTAGATTAGCAGTTTCTGAAATACTCAGACCAGCCCTTCTGGCACCAACAATCATGCCACGTTCAAAGTCACTCAAATCACCTTTCTTCCCCATACTGATGCTCGGTTTGAACTGCAGGAGATTGTCTTGACCATGTCTACATGCCTAAATGCACTGAGTTGCCGCCATGTGATTGGCTGCTTAGAAATTAAGTGTTAACGAGCAGTTGGACAGGTGTACCTAATAAAGTGGCCGGTGAGTGTATATGCAAGTGAGCGCCAATTCCTCTTCAGAATCTCTCTCTTCACGCTCAAATCGTGTGCTAGAAAGCTGATACTACTCAACAAACTTTGGATCAATTCGCTGTCGTTGAAGGTGCGCCGGAGATACCTGAACTGTCTCCAGCATCCGATGGCGACCGTTTGCAACCTATGCTCGGGCCCCATAGTGCCCCCAGACATGCACCTGTTTTGCGTCGCATGCATGGGGCTGGCCCACGCTGAGTCAGCCCTCAGGGATGGAGGGTCCTGCGATCTCTGTGCGGACATGTCCCTCCGAGCCCTCAAGGCCAGGCGGGACGAAGCTCGCGCTGCTGCGGGGATTGGGCCTGCTGCCGCCTCCGAGCTGCTGGCAGGCCCCCCCCCAACCGTGGAGTCGAGGTTCAACCCCCGGTGAGTTTCCCCGACCCTTCCTTTCAACCCCCTCGCGAGGTCGCCGACTTCGTGTCCTTCGGGGCGAGTGAGGAGGAAGACTCTATGTCCTTGTCGGCCTCCGAGAACGACTGGGGTGCGGAGCAGGCCGCTCCTCTGGCAACCACGGAGCAAGAGACCCCGGCGGACCTGTAGGAAGAGCTCTTCCGTATCCTCTCGAAGGCCGTCGAGGAATTGGATTTATCGTGGAAAGCCCCCGATGAGCCATCAAAGAGCAAGCTGGATACGTGGTTCCTCCAATCGAGCCGCCGTCAGGCCGCTTCGAGAAGAGGAACACCGTTCTTTCCCGACGTGCATGAGCACATGGTGAAGTCGTGGGCGGCCCCGCAATCGGCGTGCACCCTCACTTCAACCCAGGCCATGTTTGCCCCCGTGGACGAGGCAGGAGACCATGGCTACCTCCGCATCCCCCCTGTCGAGGAGACCGTCGCCGCACATCTCTGCCCGTCGGCTCCCGCCCTGGGCTCGGACCGCAGCCTGCCGTCCCGAGCTTGCAGGTTTACGGCTCACCAGGCTAACAAGGCCTACGGCGCCGCGGGGGAGGCGGTTTCTGCACTACACGCCATGGCCGTTCTTCAGGTGCTGCAGGCCAAGCAGTTGAAGTCTCTGGATGGCGCCGCCTCTGTCGACGCTGACGCCATCCGGGATCTCCGTTCGGCCAAGGACCTCGCGCTCCTGGCCACGAAGCGCTCGGCCCAGGCGATTGGCCGTTCGATGGGGTATCTGGTGGTCCTCCACAGACACCTGTGGCTCACCCTATCGGACGTGCAGGAGGCGGACAGGAAGACACTGTTAAATGCACTGATCTCCCCTGCAGGCCTGTTCGGAGACGCAGTGGAAAAGGTAACCGAGCGATACTCCGAGACGCAGAAAAAAGCGAAGGCGATGAGTCACGTGATTCCTCGGAGGGCGCCGATGCCTCCGCCGCCGCAGCCCCGCTCTCGCTTGTCTTCCGCCTCGGGTCGTCAACCTCAAGCTGCGGCCAGGCATCAGTCAGCGCCGCGCCCGGGACCGGATGCCCGTAAAGGCCGAAGCGGCCAGTGGCATGGAGCGGGAAACAAGAGGCCGGCTCAGAGGAGCCCGCGCAGGAAGCCCACCACGTCCCCGGCGAGGCCCAAGCAGTCGTCCTGACTGCTCGGGCAAGAGGAGAGGAGAGCGCCAGGATGGCCCCGCGTCCAAGCGACGCACTCGAGAGCACGTGGTCCCTCAGCATTCTGCGAGCGACACGTGCAGTTATGTTGTGAATGTTGTGTGTTCAAAAATAAAGCAAATTACTTCTTCACAAACAGAGCTTTTTTCTCCTCTTGCACCACACACTGTGTTACCCGCCCTGCCCTCGAGCAGCACAGAGTCACGGTCATTAACTATAAAGGCACCTCACGGGAAGCGCGAGGTGTCTATTTCCAGCCCTCACATAGCGGCGATGACCGCAGGTTTAGTTCAGCCCACACTCAGTCGTTTCCAGACTGCGTGGGAAGCTATTCCGGGCATTTCGCCGTGGGTCTTGAACGTAATTCGGCGCGGGTATACACTTCAGTTCAAACGCAGACCTCCCCGCTTTCGCGGCGTAATTCAGTCATTAACTTTGCCCCAAAGTGCTCACATACTGAGACAAGAAGTGTGCAGCCTGCTCGAGAAGAAAGCGACCCCCGAGCGAGCGGGAGAGCGGGTTCAACAGCCGCTACTTCGTAGTGCCGAAGAAGGGAGGGGGTCTCTAGGGGGCCCTATACTGGATCTGAGACCCGTCAACAGAGCGCTTCACAAGCGCGCCTTCAGGATGACCACACTGAAGCAAATCCTGGCGCAAATTCGCCTCGGGGATTGGTTCGCTTCGGTGGATTTAAAGGACGCTTACTTTCATATTCAGATAGTAAAGCATCACAGGCGTTTCCTGAGGTTCGCGTTCGAGAATTCAGTGTACCAATACACGGTGCTTCCCTTTGGGCTAGCTCTCGCTCCTCGAACGTTTTCAAAATGCATAGACGCGGCACTTTCACCCCTCAGATCGAGCGGGATGCGCGTTTTGAATTATCTGGACGACTGGCTGGTTCTCGCGCAGTCGAAAGAAACGCTGGTCAGCCATGTGGAAGTCCTCCTTCGTCACTTGGAGATGCTCGGTTTCAGTGTTGGGTATAG